CTATGACTAGACTATAGACTAGACTATAGACTAGACTATAGACTAGACTATAGACTAGACTATAGACTAGACTATAGACTAGACTATAGACTAGACTATAGACTAGACTATAGACTAGACTATAGACTAGACTATAGACTAGACTATAGACTAGACTATAGACTATAGACTAGACTATAGACTAGACTATAGACTAGACTATAGACTAGACTATAGACTAGACTATAGACTAGACTATAGACTAGACTATAGACTAGACTATAGACTAGACTATAGACTAGACTATAGACTAGACTATAGACTAGACTATAGACTAGACTATAGACTAGACTATAGACTAGACTAGACTAGACTATAGACTAGACTATAGACTAGACTATAGACTAGACTATAGACTAGACTATAGACTAGACTAGACTATAGACTAGACTATAGACTAGACTATAGACTAGACTATAGACTAGACTATAGACTAGAGTATAGACTAGACTATAGACTAGACTATACTAGACTATAGACTAGAGTATAGACTAGACTATAGACTAGACTATAGACTAGACTATAGACTAGACTATAGACTAGACTATAGACTAGACTATAGACTACACTATAGACTAGACTACACTATAGACTAGACTACACTATAGACTAGACTACACTATAGACTAGACTACACTATAGACTAGACTAGACTATAGACTAGACTATAGAATAGACTATAGAATAGACTATAGAATAGACTAGACTAGACTAGACTATAGACTAGACTATAGAATAGACTATAGAATCGACTATAGACTAGACTATAGACTAGACTATAGATTAGACTATAGACTAGACTATAGACTAGGCTATAGACTAGACTATAGACTAGTCTATAGACTAGACTATAGACTAGACTATAGACTAGACTATAGACTAGACTATAGACTAGACTATATATTAGACTATAGACTAGACTATAGACTAGACCATAGACTAGATTATAGACTATACTATAGACTATGTACTGAAAGAAGTACTTAAGTTTTGAATTATCCATGCCTGTAAACAACACACTACTTTCAGCACAATAACAAAAACACACGAACTTACATTAGTATATTTGTATGTAAATCTGTTTGCATGTACGTATTTACACTCACAAAAGGCACGCTTTTACGGCATTTTGTATGAAGGCAAACAAAAAAAGACGCGGCTTGATTGTAAGCCAAATAACACAGAAAAAAATTGAAAATATTAAGTGACTGAAAGAGTCACACAAGGCACAGTGGAGCAAAGTTATGAAAATAAAATAACTTTAAAAAGACTTATAATTTTATCATTAAATTAAACCAATACCTATATTGTACATTTTAAGACGAATTAATGTGAGGTTATAATTAAGTCAAATTATTATATTTTTCAAGTCGAATCTATATAATATATAAAATGTGAGCCATACTTTGAAGTCATCTGATGCCGCTCCATAATTTTAAATCTGAAACTCGTCACACTGTAACCACTGAGTTTCAGTATGACGGTTGTTCCCACATTTAGTTTGTAAGTCGGTTTTACTGTCACTCGGTCGTTTAGTCTTTTTTTAGATGATTTTCCGTGCTCTCATGTTCACAGCAGTGAGACCAGGCAGGCAAACAGTCAGAGTCAGTGTAGTTGATGTTGGCGGCTTTGACTTAGAGGTTTACAATTTTGTTGTTTTTTTTTAAGACTATTTTGTATCTTTTTTTCAGTTGAGAAGAATCAGCAAGAAATAAAAAATGGAAAAAACAACTTGAAAGCATTTATTATTATTTTTTGTTTTAAAAGATACCGCGCTTTAGGCTAAGCTTTGTATGTAATAAACTGTAAAGGCAAAATGAAGAAATAGAAGGTGGTCTATAATAATGAATCTAAGCGCGCAACAAATGAGTGTTTTTGTTAACCATAAACTATATAGTAAACACATGGTTAACAAATTAGGAGTTGGTAATAGAAATAAAAATATCAGATTTTACTTAAATTCGGCGAAAAAGCGCCAAGTTGGCATTCTGTTATTGTTAGAGTTAGCAGAAAGTTTAAGGGTAAATATCAAGCTGTAATTGCAAAAAATCCTAAATCAATTTTAAGGAAATTTTCTATAACCAATGAATAGTTGTAGCTGATTATAAAGATTTCTATTTGGAGTTTATTAATGTAAAGGGAGTGCCCACAAAGTAGGGCACTTTGGACATAAGAAAAGTTTGAGTTTTGAACACTAAACGGCTGAACCAATTCTAATTAAACTAGACTTAATTAAATAGAAAATAATGTCGAGTCCTGAATTAGAAGTTTATAAAACTTCAAGGAACGTGGTTGGAATTCAGAACTTCAAAGAGTATCGTAAAATCTCTGTAACTTTACTAACTCACCCATTGTTCTCGATTTTTCTATTACTAATAAAGTCTTTGCTGCTATAATCTTACTTTTACACATTTATTAGATAATTTTTTTTTCGAAATTTTCTATTTTCTTCTTCACTCTACTTTACTAAATAAAGTTAACAAAAACATTTTTCAATTTTTTTTCTGACATTTATGTCATTATCAAATACATCTGTCTGTCAGTGATTTTGAAATCTTATTTTTTCAAAAATTATTATTACAAAAAATTACATGTTACAAACACACTGACGAAAGTTGTTTGTAAAATGTAACAGATTTTTTAATTAAAAAATAAATGGGGGAAAATATATCAATTTTAGATTTATGAAATCGGTAGCACACTGAAAAACAACTATAAATGATTGATTGTTTGAAATAAAAGTGATGAGATGTTGTTGAAAGTAATAAATAGGAAATAGTTTTTCAAATAAACATTTTTTTTTAACAGAAAAAGTTTGTAATTTTTTTGTAAATAATATTTTGGTTTAATAATATTTATATAGTTTAACATAATTTGTTTATTTTTATGTTTAACAAGGGTTTTCTAGCCTTAAACTTAAATTTTCTTAATTTTTTTGTTTTTCTTTAGCACACTAACGCTTTACGCCTAACGCTTTTATTGTATTTATCCTTTTGTAAGAACTTACAGTTCTTTTTTCCACTCAGTATTTTATCAAAACAAAAACAAACTTACTTCAGCAAAACAAATAAGGTTCATAATTATATTTTTTTCTCCATTTTGCATATTAATAATTCAACACATTAAATAAAAGAAAAAAACTTATAAAAAAAATACAATGAGCTGTTAATTGAATGGACACAGAAATAAACAACAACTACAACAAGCAGGGCCATTATATTTTTATTTTGTGTATTTGGTGGTGTTGTTGTTTTTGTTTTTCTTTTAACTTTTACTTTTTATGCGGCGCCACAAAGACTCGGCATTTTATTTAACTAACAAGACAAAAAATATATCGTATACAAAGCACTAGATATAAAAATACGAGGGTAGAACAGAAAATTTTTAAAATAAAATTATTAAGTTAATAAAAAACGGCTTGACTATACTCTGTGAGTTTGACTGTCATTTTGTCACTATTGTTATTATTATTCATTCGCTCTCCTTCATAATATGACTGTTATTTTAGTGATGCCAAGTTTCTCAATTCGCATTGTTTACTTTTTGCAAGATATCGTTTTTGTAAGTGATGCCATTTTTTGTGTAAATCTCCGCAAAAAGGCTACGAAATGAAAATGTCAATTAAAAACTTGATATTTAGATAAAAATTATAAAAATTTCTCTAATAAACTATTAAAATGTTAAGAAAATACTTGAATTGATTCCTCATTTGACTTAATATCAAAGATTTTGTCAATTCGCCTTGTTCGTCTTGCATCGTTATTGCAAACATGGAGATTTTGTTAGTGATACCAATTTATTGATATGTAAGCCTCAGCAAAAACACTAGAATAATAAAATATCAATTGAAAACTCCTTATTTATATAAAATTTAAAGAAATTAATAATGACTTTTTTAAAAAATAGTTAAATTGTTATGAAAATACTCAGGTTTTCAGTAAATATATGAAAGTTATTAAAAACTATGTAATAAAAAACATATTTTTAACTAAAAGTTAAAACTTTATGACAAAAATTCTCACTCTACCCTCTTTGGCAAACGTGTCGTGTGTAAGTATGTAGTAAATTCAAATAGCATGATGAATACACTTTAAGCTTTCAAGTACTACTCCTTTATACTACAAACATACTTACGTACATATATCAATAATGGACACTGAACGCGTCGACAACGCTGATGATGACGACAAAGAATTTGTTTGAATAGCGTAAAAAGAAACGCTGACTGTGCAAAATTGCATGTTAAAAGGCATTAATCAAGCCACAACCAAACCCAACCAGCCAGCCAGTCAGCCGGCTAAAAATTCATTTGGTTTTAAAGCCAAACCAAAAATAAAACCCTAAGAGCCAAAACACCGCCAAATAACAATAGCAACAACAAAGAGATACCGTCTTTAAGATTAGATATTAAAAATAAAGAAAAACAGTTGGCTTTTGTTTATAAAAAAATAATTCAAATAGTTTTTTTTTTTTTTTTTCTATAAAAATTCTTTTAATAAAGCTCATCTAGGTCGCCGTTTACTTTACTCTGTTTGAGGCAATTATCTAGGGAAGTTGGATTTTAAGCTTAGGAGTTATAAGAGTTTGAAATTGATTATTTCCGGAGGTTTGGTAAGACTGTAATTTCCGCCTTTTTTTCTTGAGTGGGTTTTAAAAGGAAATAGTTTTTTTTTTAGATTGGGTGATAGATTATGCTGGTTAAATTTTTGTTGTTTTTAGTAAAAATCTTATAATAAATATAACTTCGCTTAGAACTTGAGTATTTCAATATTTTCTACTGCTTAATGCAATTTTAGCATTTGATTGGGAATAGCATACTTGGCATCACTGCTTTATACAAATTATGATTAACAGTAATGTTGCCAAATGTATTGAAAATGGGTTTTTTGTAGCGATTTTAAGATTAATACCTTATATTGCAAATTTTTATTAAGCATTTCTTTCTATTTCTTTCTTTACAGTTCAAGAATGTACCACCGATTCCGAAGAATTAATGTATCATCAGGTGCGTGCCTCATCCTCATGCAGTGCACCACCCGATCTTTTGCTTGTAAGTGATCGTGAAAATAATATACCATTACGTTCTCCCGTTGTCAATATAATAGCAGCAACTACCGCAGCCACAGCTCCAGCCACCACAACAACATCACCTTCCTCTGGGATAAATGCGTGTCACCTAACATCTGCCAGCAATAACAATCAAAGACATCACCAACAAAAGTTGCAACAGCAACATCAGCTGCAACAACAACATCATCATCATCATGTTACAACACAACAGCTGTCATTGGCATATAACGGTACAAAGGATATGGTTGTTGGTAATAGTAGTAGTAATAACGGAAAACATCAAAAACAAACTAACAAACATGGTCAACAACAACAACAGTTATCACAAACAGATTGCCAACAGCCACAACAACAGACGCTTCAACATGAAATGGAGGGACAACAGCTGGAATCTCAAACCAATAACCACTCCTCAACACGTCACGCACATCATACGCAGCAACAGCAGTCGCATCATCAACAGCCATCACAGCAGCAGCGTTCAGAGGATCATATACGTTTAGAGGTAAATTATTTTTAAGAAAATAAATAAAATTAACTGTTTTTAGCTTGAAAAAAGATTATAGTGTCCAACCACAAGTCAATTATAAACAGATGTTTAAAGGTGTGCAATATTTAGAGTGGTTAGAGGTATAATAAGCCAGATCTTTTATGGTTTTTTTTTTTGCTGCATTTTTTGTTTTCAAACAATTGACAACACTGTTCCCGCCTTTAACATTTTATTTTGAGTTATAAACTTCAAAACCGTTATTAATTTGACATTTTAAACTTTTATCAAAAAAAACAAGCTTAATGTGTTTACGTAGGCAAATGAACATGAAAACACACACCCAAATCATTAAAACTCATTAAAAAAAGATTTCTAAAACATTTTGAAAAATTTCGAAAAAAAAACAAACATTTTCTTAGAAAAATTTTATAAACTACATAATAAATTTAATTTCACACTTTTATGTAGATGTTGACGTTGTTTTTGTTGTTACTTGCTACTACACCCAAGGGGACGACAACAAACGACGACTTTCTATTTAATTTTATAAACATTCAAAACAGTTTGTTTTCTTTTTGGAAATTTTAATTGCTTTGCTATATATAAAAAAGATTCTTAGCTGGAATTGTGTAGATTATTGTTGTTGTTGTATTCAATTGGTTGTTTTTTTTCATGTTTTTGTATATTTTCCTACAAGCGCCATTAGCAGTGAATTTTCGATTTTTCTTCACATCTTCAGGCCATAAAAATCAAATATTATACTTTTTTTGATAATGATTGCTTTCAGAGAAAAAGAAGAAATACTGTTATTTTGTTGTTGTAACCAGGCATGGAAAATTTGGTAGTATACTACTTATACAGTTCTTTTTAACACCGAATAATGCTGCGCTGCTCTCACGAAATTTTTGCTACCCCTTTTGCTATTTAGTCTATAGTCTAGTCTATAGTCTAGTCTATAGTCTAGTCTATAGTCTAGTCTATAGTCTAGTCTATAGTCTAGTCTATAGTCTAGTCTATAGTCTAGTCTATAGTGTAGTCTATAGTCTAGTCTATAGTCTAGTCTATAGTCTAGTCTATAGTCTAGTCTATAGTCTAGTCTATAGTCTAGTCTATAGTCTAGTCTATAGTCTAGTCTATAGTCTAGTCTATAGTCTAGTCTATAGTCTAGTCTATAGTCTAGTCTATAGTCTAGTCTATAGTCTAGTCTATAGTCTAGTCTATAGTCTAGTCTATAGTCTAGTCTATAGTCTAGTCTATAGTCTAGTCTATAGTCTAGTCTATAGTCTAGTCTATAGTCTAGTCTATAGTCTAGTCTATAGTCTAGTCTATAGTCTAGTCTATAGTCTAGTCTATAGTCTAGTCTATAGTCTAGTCTATAGTCTAGTCTATAGTCTAGTCTATAGTCTAGTCTATAGTCTAGTCTATAGTCTAGTCTATAGTCTATAGTCTAGTCTAGTCTAGTCTATAGTCTAGTCTATAGTCTAGTCTATAGTCTAGTCTATAGTCTAGTCTATAGTCTAGTCTATAGTCTAGTCTATAGTCTAGTCTATAGTCTAGTCTATAGTCTAGTCTATAGTCTAGTCTATAGTCTAGTCTATAGTCTAGTCTATAGTCTAGTCTATAGTCTAGTCTATAGTCTAGTCTATAGTCTAGTCTATAGTCTAGTTAGTTATAGTCTAATCTATAGTCTAGTCTATAGTCCACAGTGTAGTCTAGCCTATAGTCTTCTAGTCTGATATTTTTGTAAAAGAAAGGTGCTATTTAAAAATTTCAATTTCCCATGCCTGGCTGAAACTGTTTATAACATTTTGATATCTTTATGTGGGTTTGGAATAAATGTTTGTATATAATATTGATTTTGGATTTCAAAACCATTAATGTAGCCACCACCATCAACGTCATCATCAAGTACAATTTTTATATTAAAAGCCGCTCCCCCATGGCTGGAAAAATCTTTTAATGGCATTTTGCTGGATATTTCGAACAATTGTATTTAATAAATGTTTTGATTAGTTTTCAAGTATTTTGGATTTTTTCCATTTCCATCAATTGTAGTCTCCACAAGTGGTCTCCACTTAAATTGACCATTACTGGCTTTAGTTTACTATTTGGTAAACAAAATCTGAAGGTCTTTTAAGTCCACATATGCCGTATATTGAAGGAAAAATCTTTTAAATCTAATGAACAAATATATTTTATTTAATTTTATGATTTTATTGTTTCTTTTACAGGAATTTACTTGCGATGTTTCGGTGGAGGGTGGCAAATCATCACAACCCCTGCAGTTTTCTTTTACCTTTTATGATTTGGATGGTCATCATGGTAAAATAACCAAAGATGATATTGTGGGCATTGTTTATACGATTTATGAGTCCATTGGCAAATCAGTGGTAGTGCCTCATAGTGGTAGTAAAACCATAAATGTGCGTCTCACTGTTTCGCCCGAGGGCAAATCGAAAGCCAGCAAAAATAAGAAAACTGTCTCCTCTGCCGCAGTGGTATTAGATTCAAATCAAAAGTCTGCCTCTCAAGCAGCTCGTAGACTGCATCGTTATAGACCACGCAAGCTAATCAAATCTGATGAGGAGGATGATGATAGCAACAGTGACAAAGAACGTGACACAACTGCCATTAACTCCTCAAATCTATCACATGTTTTGGCTGCTAAAACCAGCTCCAAAGCACACAAACTACATAAATCTAAAGCAACTGAACATCATTGCTGCGCCACACCCAACAATCCGGATTTAACTAGTTCACCACTCGAAACTATTTATGATAATCTTAAGGCGGCGACCGCTGTCACCACACCCGAGGCCTGTAGAGAATGTCTAGCGGCAGTGGATGAAAGTCGCAGTGCTGCCATTTCACCCATCGCACAATACCATCCCGCTCATGCCAAGATCACCTCGTCGGCCACAAATGAGGCTTATATGAAACATGTGGCTTCGACAAGGATAAAAATGTTAAGGAAATCTCGGAAACAAAAGGTAATTGTGGGATTAAAACGAAAAAAATTTTATTAGCTTAAGTAAGAGAATAGTTTAAGGGGGAGGAGTGTATCAGCTTTGAGGAGATTTATAATTTTTGGGAAAAAATAAAATTATTTGTAAAAAGTGCTTTTTTTTAAAAAATTGCACATTTCATTCAAAATTGCATTTTTCATAGAAAAATGTAATTTTCATAGAAAAGTGCATTTCTTATTTTTTAAAAGTGAATTTAATATTTCTTCCAGAGTTTCTTATTCTAAAATCTAAAAGCTGACGTTAAACTCTCCTTAGAGATAATTTTCTATTGTAAACAACATGTTTGCCATGTTGCCAATTTTCATGTAGTTCATGTGTTTTATTTATATTTTAATTTTATTTATAATTATTTTGTAAATATAATTTTTATTTTTTGTTTTTTTTTTCTTTATTTATATGTACTCGTACAATTTGTTTTTGTGATGATAATGCACCAATTTTCTTTAACACTTGCCTCTTTGCCTCTACTATCTTTGTGCTACATTTTCACTTTGTTATTAACCTGGACTCATATTTTAAACACTTATCATACAAAAACAACAAATCATCCATGCCAACCATCAATCCTCATTGATCCATTAAAAAAAAAACAACAGCATCAAGACTGCATGGAAACTAGACAACGCAGTTTATCGGTGGGTAATGAAACCTGCTGGAAAAATCGTCATTTACAAAAACAACCACCCAGCAGCACACAACAACAATTGCTTTGGCATGCTGAACAGCAATTGAATAATAGTGCTGGTGGTGCTGTTAATGGCGCCACTGATATGGTGGATGGTGTGCAATTGCGTAATCCTTTGAAGGCAGGAGGAGGAGGAGGAGGTAAAGTGTCATCATCGAGTGCTCAAAAACGTAATTCCGCCGAATGCTGGAAGACGGCTTTAAATCGTAATGATCTTATAAGTATTATAAGGGAGAGTATGGAAAAGAATCGTTTGTGTTTTCAGCTGAATGGGTAAGCGTTTAAATACTATCTCTTATGAAATTTTAAAAAGCTTTTTTAAATATGTTTTTGTTAAATTATGTTTTTGTTAAGTTTTTATTAAATTTTTTAAAAAGCCTGTTTTGAGTTTTTAAAGTTTTTTGTTTACACTTTAGTTTTTTTGTGAAATTTGGCAACATTGCATGATTTTAAATTAATTCCTGAAGAAAAAATTGGCATGATTTGAATGGTATTGTTAAATTAATGTAAAAACCAGAGCAAAAATTACCCTATAATCCGAAGTTACCTTCAATATTATAAACTTAAAAAATAAATAAATACAAATATATAATAAAATTAATAAAAATAGTTTGTTATTCCCATTCTTATCCAAAATAACAAAACATTTTCGAGAAAATTTCCAAAAAAAAAATTAAATATTCGTTAAATCTTTTACAAACTTTAAGTAAAATTATTAAAAATTTTACAAATTTGTCCTTGGAGAAATCCTTAAAGAAAAAATGTACCCACTACCTTTTGTACACCACTAATAACTGATTTTCTGTTTCCTGTTTATAGAAAACCCCAAGCAAATGTGAGTCCCATCCGACATTCACAGCCAACGCAACAAACACCACAAACACTACAACAACATCATCAACAGCATCTACACCACAACCAGCACAACAACAGCCACCACAACAAACATTCACAAGCAACAACACCTACAAGTTCGCAGCGTCAACGCTCAAATACAGTATCGAAAATTCCTACATTAATTGCCAATCACAACAATGCTCATACAACACACTCACCGCAACACAATCACTATCCCAGCAGCAGCAACAACGGCCAACAACGCTCCAGCAGTTGTGTCAATACCATCAGCAACAGCAACAACAATCAGCATCAGCCACACGATACAAGTCTGCCTACAGAAACACTCAACATAAGTAGCAGCAACTCTAGCTATCATCAACATCTTCAGCCACACATTCCCATCTATCATCAACAAATGGCCATTAATCCGGCTGTTATAGCGGCCCACAATGCTCTACTGGGGGGTAATGGTAGTGGTGCAGCGGCCGGACATCATGGTAAAATGAATCTCTGTGGTTATGATTCTTTCCTGCATGCCACCATTTGTGGTGGTGGTTTAAGTCATTCGCCACCTGCTCATTCTTCTCTGGCAGCTCAAATCACCAGTCCCTCAAATTTGGCCTCTGCCCTTAGCAGTGGCCAGCAAATTGCCACTGTTCAACCTATAATGTCTACTAACTCTCCCAATGCTTCGAAACACTTAAGTTTGGCAGTTACCGCTAACCAAATTAAAACTAGTAAAATTTTACGCAGCGGTTCGTATGCCCAAAATCAACATCATCATCACCAGCAGCAGCAACAGCAACAATTACAAACCCACTCACAAACCACCCAAAATTCTCCTCAATATCATGGCTACCAACGTTTGCCCTCATCCTCCAAACACAATTTATCCGCTTTGCATTTGGTAAGTCCCACTATGGAGAAACCAGCTTTAGAACAATTGGACAAATGGCGTCGCGATCAAGTTAAAAACTATGATCAATTATTATATGCCAAATTGAGTGAAAAATTACAACAAACTAATTTAGTTGCGGCTAATGGAGTTAATAGTCGTGAAAGTAATCCACGGCGTAAGCACCGAGTATTAAGACAAAGACGTCCTAATCAACTAATAGCAGAAGCTAATAATGTCTCTTTGAGTTCCAAACTAAAAGCCAATAAACTGTGTTTAAGAGAGGAAAATGATTATACTACTATACTGCCTTTGGAAGTGGATGCTGTGGAATGTGAAAATCTATTGGGTCATAGCAGTGAGGAGGATACACACTCCCATAATGAATCTCCTGTACATAATAAGGATAAGTTATTGGAAGATAATAACCGCAAAAGACATGTAGCTGAGGGAACTTTGGTGGAGTTAGATGATGTGGATGATGAAGATGAGGAAGAGCAGCAGCAGGTATTAACACAATCTGCTAACCTGGGAAATCGTCCCTTAAATGCCGATACTTTACTTAGAGTAGAGGATGAGTTGCACCATTTACATTTGGAAGATAATTTAGAAATAGAAGAAGATTTAGAGGAGGATCTAGACGATGATCTAGAAGAAGATGCCGATGAAGTGCCAGTGGATGGTGCAGTTACCGAAAGTGGCCGTAATAGTGCGGCCAGCAATGATAGCAATCCGACTGGCGCCACTTTGGCCAATACAAATGGTGCTAATACTAGCAACACTTCCTCTTCTTTAATACATCGTTATGTTCATGAGCATATACATCATCATTATCATCATTTCGAAGAGAAAGAAGAATGAAAGAAGATGGAAAGGGAAGTAAAAAGAAATATGAATAATGTACTCGAAAACTAAACTCAATTTTTTATACAAAGTTTATTTCTTTATTTTTTTTTTTATAAGTAAATAATTTTTAAATGTACATTAATTATATTTGTGTGTGTGTGTGGGGCTGCCAAAAATTAACTAAAAAGTGAGGTTATGCGGTAGAGGGGAAACAATTGAGGTTAGTTTGTATTATGGGCAGTCGTTAGAGTTTTCTTTTTACACATAAATTGTTTGGTTTTAAGAGTATTTGCTATTGAAATTTTATGATTTATAGCTAAACAAAATTTGTTTCTAACAAATCATTTTTTAAAATTGAAATGTTATCGAAAAAATTGACTTCACAATGACAGATAAATTTGGTGTTAAGGGAAATTAATGTTTTCTTTACAAATTGAAAACTTTTTTTAAAAATTTCTCTATTAAGAACATATTTCATTCAAAATTTTATTCAAAATCATAAAAAATCAATTGTAACCATTAAATATTTCAAAAATTTATTCAAAATCAATTATATCTATTAAATATTTCAAATTTCTTAAACAATTCCTTAAAAACTTTTGTATTAAAGACACAACTTTCGAAAAATTTCAAAACTTTTTGAAAATCTTTTCATTTCTTTCACTTTAAAACTTTTCTAATTGTAAATCTTTTTCAAGAGCTCTAAATTGCTTAACCAGTTCATTAAATACTTCTGCTTTTAAGAAATCTTATATTAAAACTTTAAAAAATTTTCAAAATCTTCAAGTTTTTACTAAATTATTAACAAATCTCAAGTTTTTTTTAAAGTAAAAAGTTTCTTGAAACAAAAACACTTGAAAAATTTTATTAAAAACCAAAAACATAACAAAATTTCAAGTGGTTTATTACAATTACAATATTTTTTAAGGTTATGTTGAACATTTTAATAAAAAATACTCCTCAAGAACTTAAAAATATTTAAAATTTTTAAAAACTTTTCTTAGCAATTAAAAATTTAAATTTTCTATAACAGTTCCTTAAAGATTTTACATTTCAACATAAAAAACTTTCAAAACTTTTAAAAATGTTCAATATTTTAATAAATTTTTACCATAAAAGAGTTTTTTTTGGGTATTTTAAAGTAAAAAATTTATTAATTGAAAAACACTTGAGAAATGTTTTCAAAACAGCCACAACTTAACCAGTTAGTTACACTTTTAAAGTAGTTTTTGTTCAATTACACAATTTGTTTTTAGGTTATGTTTTGAAAATTTGAATATTTTCCATAATAAACTTTCTCAAGATTTTATAAGTATTCAACTATACAAATAACTTTACATTTACAGTTTAATAGTAAAAAAAGTTTTCCTAAAAAATCTCAGTAAAAGAAAAGAAATCTTAAATTAAACTTTTTTGAGGTTATGTTGGTGAAAAATTAAAATTGGAAAATTTTTAAAAAAATTAAGAAAAATCTTAAAGAATCTTACCTTAATGTAACAAAATCATAAACCACGAGTTAATTTTTTATAAATTTAAACAGATTTGTAAGAAATTTCAAGTAATTAAAGAGAAAATTTGTTTTATAAATTTTGAGGTTATGTTTGAATTTTTTTTTTAAATTACAAAAAATCTTTAAGAATTTTTAATTTAAGTGGATAAAATTATGAACTAGTGTAAATTTCAATATTTAAACAGTTTTCAGGGGAAAATTTTCAATAAAAGAGATTTTTTTTTTAAATTTTTAAGGTTATGTTTGAAAAATTTTAAAGAAATTTGAGGAAACCCTTATAGAATTTATAATTAAAGTTTATAAAATTATAAATCACTAAGCTTTAGTTGAATAATTGAAAAGATTTTGTAGACAAATTGTGTTTTTAAACAGAAAATTCAAATTGAAAATTTTGAGGTTAGGTTTTGAAAAAATTTAAAAATTTTGCAACATTTTATAAAAAAATCCCCAAAAAATAGTTAATAACCCATAAATTTATATATTTTGCTACTTAAACGTTATTTTTATGCAATATTTAAACAGTTTTCCGGGAAAATTTTGTAATTAAAGAGATTTTTTTAAATTTTTAAGGTTATATTTGAAAAATTTTAAAGAAATTTAAGAAAAAACTAATATAATTTACTATTAAAGTTTATAATGTTATAAACAACTAGGCTATAGTTGAGTAATTGAAAATATTTTGTGGAAAATTGATTTTAATAAAGAAAAACTTTGATTTGAAATTTTTGAGGTTAGGTTTTGAAAAAATTTTAAATTTTTGTAAAAAAATCCCTAGAAAATAGTGAATAACCAATAAATTTATATATTTGGCAATTTAAACAATATATTTTTGCAATATTTAAACAGTTTTCAAGGAAAAAATTTGCGATTAAAGAGAATTTTTAAGGTTATGTATGGAAAATTTTAAAGAAGTTTAAGAAAAAACATAGAATTTACAATTAAAGTGTATAACATTATAAACAACTAAGAGCTTGTTTTATAACGGAAAAGATTTTGTACAATAACTGAGTCATTTAAAAGAAAATTTTAAAATAAATTTTTGAGGTTAGGTTTTGAAAAAAATTTTAAATTTTGCAAAAATATATACAAAAATTACGGAAAATAGTTAATAACCCCTCAATTTATTTATATTCTAACTTAAACGAAGTCTTAAACTTCCATATCCAGAATTTTTAATGAATTTTTTATAAAGTTAGATTGATTTCAAAGCCCCCTCACACACTTAGAGATAACAAACCTATTTACCACCTTGAACAAACAAACAAATATATATATAACAAAATACATAATGATACAAATATTAAAATACAAATACAATTAAACAAAGTAACTAGTAAAAGAAAAAGGCTTCAGAAAACAAATATCTTTAAAATGTAAAATGTATTCCTTTTTATACTTAAAAATACATTAATAATAATATAAATACTTTCTGTTTATTTAAGCAAATTTCGTTTTTTGGAAAAAAATTTAAATAAATACCAACAAAAGTGCTTCAAGTTTAAAGTTTAATTGAGAAAAAAAAGAATATAAATTGTTGTCTAGATAAAAAAAAAGTTTTTTAAGTTTAAAAATATTTATATGTTGTATGTATGTATTATATAGAGCTGTATGTCTGAATGTATGTACATATATTAGAAGTGTGTTTCTTGTGGTGAATGTTTTTTTTTTTTTTTTTTGTTTTAAGTATTAGTAGTTGTAAAATTGTAAGTTTGTAATTTAGAAATTTTGCTTTAAAAAAAATTTATTACAAATTTAATAAAATCGTAAAAAAAAAGTTTTTGCTACAACAAAAGAGAACTTAAATTTACAAAATAAGACAGTTAAAAGAAAAGTTTTTTCTAAAGAATTTCATGTAAAACTTAAAGGTTTAAAAAGTTCTCTTAATAATAAACAATAATCAGACTATATATGAAACGACGCTTCAAATTCAAAATAAACAATTCCTTGTAATCATGCTATTAAACTTACAAATTAGTAACAAAAACAATATTCATAATAATATCAAACAAAATTAACAATTTTTAATTAATTATTAGATAGTAGACAATCTTTAATATTACTTATTTTGTATTAATAGTTTCTCTACTAATTTTTTTGTAATTAATTTAATAATAATATTATAATACATACTAACTTTTTTCTATATAAAAAAAAACTTAAAAGATAATACCAACCAACAACCCCATAAGTTTATACTTTCTTTAAATTTTCTTTCATAAAAAAAGACTGATTTCCTCCAATTTTTTTAAATTAAGTAAATAAACTAATAAAAAAAACAACTTGTTTATAATAATACAATTAACTTATAATTAATTAATATACAAACTACAAATATTAAATAAAAAATAAAAATTCTATAACAAGAAACCTTAAATAATATAAAAAAATCAAGAGTTTTTTTGTAACACTAAAAGAAAAAAGGTAAAAACATAACATAAAAAGGACCAAAGTAAAAAAGATCTTGAAACACCTTAATATATATTGTGTAACCCAAAAGGTAAATAAACAAATAATTTGCTGGTTCGAAGGACCAATACTAAATGCTGAAGAATTCTTCTTAACTTTTAGAAAAGTAAATATAAACATATCCCCTCTGACGTTATAGTTTTCCCCCAAATTTTCGTTCAAAACTAAATATTTCGTATCTAAACATTTGTTTTTTTTTTGTCTGTTCTATAACGTTTTCCTCCATTCACTTGCTCTAAAAAAAACACACACAAAGAAAAACCAATAATCTCTCTAGCATAAAATATTCTTGTGATAGAAAACGTTTTGTCATCTATTTTTAAAAGAAAAATACAAAATCTAAAACTAAAACTTTATGTATCTATACTAAAGTACTTAAAGAACACTGTAATGATCTTGATGATTATGAACATCATTAAGATGATCATGAGCAGGAGAATTTCATTTGTATTAACGCGAAGAGAACGCGATAAAAATTGAAATATGTGAACACATGTCCAAAACAATTAAACAGCAAGAGAATGACAAAAAAATAATAACGCGGACACGCTAGACAGTCCTTTAGGAATACCAGAGATATAAAAGAATTCATACGGTATTCAAACTCTTGCAGTTTCCTTAAAGAACTTTGCAGTCTTCACAGAGAAGTCAAAGTTTTTCATAGAAAACTGAACTAGAACTGAACTCAAACCGAACTAGAAATGAACTCAAACCGAACTAGAACTGAACTAGAACTGATCTAGAACTGAACTAGAACTGAACTAGAACTGAACTAAACTAGAACTGAACTAGAACTGAACTAGAACTGAACTAGAACTGAACTAGAACTGAACTAGAACTGAACTAGAACTGATCTAGAACTGAACTAGAACTGAACTAGAACTGAACTAGAACTGAACTAAAACTGAACTAGAACTGAACTAGAATTGAACTAGAATTGAACTAGAACTGAACTAGAACTGAACTAGAACTGAATTAGAACTGAACTAGAACTGAACTAAAACTGAACTAGAACTGAACTAGGACTGAACTAGAACTGAACTAGAACTGAACTAGAACTGAACTAAAATTGAACTAGAACTGAACTAGAACTGAACTAGAACTGAACTAGAACTGAACTAGAACTGAACTAGAACTGAACTAGAACTGAACTAGAACTGAACTAGAACTGAACTAGAACTGAACTAGAACTGAACTAGAACTGAACTAGAACTGAACTAGAACCGAACTAGAACTGAACTGAACTAGAACTGAACTAGAACTGAACTAGAACAGAACTAGAACTGAACTAGAACTGAACTAGAACTGAACTAGAACTGAACTAGAACTGAACTAGAACTGAACTAGAACTGAACTAGAACTGAACTAGAGCTGAACTAGAACTGAACTAGAACTGAACTAGAACTGAACTAGAATTGAACTAGAACTAAACTAGAACTAAACTAGAACTGAACTAGAAGTGAACTAGAACTGAACTAGAACTGAACTAGAACTGAACTAGAACTGAACTAGAACTGAACTAGAACTGAACTAGAACTGAACTAGAACTGAACTAGAACTGAACTAGAACTGAACTAGAACTGAACTAGAACTGAACTAGAACTGAACTAGAACTGAACTAGAACTGAACTAGAACTGAACTAGAACTGAACTAGAACTGAACTAGAACTGAACTAGAACTGAACTAGAACTGAACTAGAACTGAACTAGAACTGAACTAGAATTGAACTAGAATTGAACTAGAACTGAACTAGAACTGAACTAGAACTGAACTAGATTTGAACTAGAACTGAAGTAGAACTGAACTAGAATTGAACTAGAACTGAACTAGAACTGAACTAGAACTGAACTAGAACTGAACTAAAACTGAACTAAAACTGAACTAGAACTGATCTAGAACTGAACTAGAACTGAACTAGAACTAAACTAGAACTGAACTAGAACTGAACTAGAACTGAACTAGAACTGAACTAGAACTGAACTAGAACTGAACTAGAACTGAACTAGAACTGAACTAGAACTGAACTAGAACTGAACTAGAACTGAACTAGAACTGAACTAGAAGTGAACTAGAACTGAACTAGAACTGAACTAGAACTGAACTGAACTAGAACTGAACTAGAACTGAACTAGAACTGAACTAGAACTGAACTAGAACTGAACTGAACTAGAACTGAACTAGAACTGAACTAGAACTGAACTAGAACTGAACTGGAACTGAACTAGAACTGAACTAGAACTGAGCGAGAACTGAACTAGGACAGAATCAGAACTGAACTAGAACTAAACTCAAACTGAACTAGAACAGAAATACCCCTTTAGCCAAATCTTACAGTCTTCCCAAAATAGTTTTCATTCTTTTATGAGTCTCTGGTGCTGCTGCTGCCGTTTCACTGCTTTCAAATACATAAGTTTGTCGTCATCATTTCGTTCTGCCCGCCGAATATAAAAGACGCATTTGTCAGACAAATGGATGAATTTGTATTTAATCGCCTCTCTTTTATTGTTTCTTTTTTTACATTATTTGTTTCTATTGACGAGCATGTCTGAACGTGATTTTTTTTGTTTTCATTATTATTTCTTGGTTGTTGATGTTGGCCACTTTTCATTATATGATGCAGTTTTTCTTTTTCAAACTAATATAAAACTATAGGGGACTTGGATGGTGGTGGTGGCATTGGGAGAGAAGAAACAAAAAAATTTTCTTTGTTTTCTTTGTCGAATGAAACTCATTTCATTTGTCTTACGGTTCACAGTGGTTGGTCGTTCTGATCGCAAAATTTCGATTACGCAAACAAAATTAAAAATAATAAATTATTAAGTGAATAAAACAATAGCATTAATAAATAAATTATAATAAAATATATAAACACACTTGGGAAATAATAGAATACAATGACGAATTCCTCGAAATGTGCTGTGTGTGGTGTGCCGGCATCATTAAAATGCATGGCCTGCAAACAGGTGTATTACTGCGGTAAAGAGCATCAGAAAATTCATTGGAAAAAAGGTCACAAGGCCGAGTGTAAATGTTATGAGGTGAATATGTTCAAAACATTTAAATTAAAACAGTTGCAGACATAAGTGTTTAAACTATTTGTTAAAAGGAAAGAGACAGTTTTCAAATTCATTAATGTATTGTTAAATATAATAAAATTTTTGGCGCCTTGTGTTAATTATTTGCCTGACTAGCTTTTTTTTAATTAGTTTCTATATTAAACAAATTAGTGTGTTCACTTATTTTGCCAACTGTAGAAATGTTTAAAATTTTTGTGTGTTTTCAAAACTAATTACTTAACTGATTGACAGATTACTAAAAATGATGTGTTGGGGCGTCATATACGCGCCACACGTGACATTAAATTGGGTGAAGTAATTTTGCGTGAGCCTCCCCTCATCTATGGTCCCAAGGTTGCTAGTGCCCCCTTGTGTTTGGGTTGTCATCGTAAACTTACCCCGCCTGTGGGCAATTACTACAAGTGTAAAGGCTGTGCTTGGCCTTTATGTGGTCCGGATTGTGAGAAATCTGTTCATCACAAAGATGAATGTGCCTTAATGGCCTCACGCAAGTTTTCAGCTAAAATTGATTATAAACCCGCTCATGCCCAAAATGGCAAAAAAGAATCCGCCTATTGTGTCATCTTGCCCTTGCGCTGCATGCTTTTAAAGCAAAAAAATCCTGCTTTATATGAACAGTTTGCCGCTTTAGAAGATCATTTGCAAGAACGTCTAGATACGCCCCTATACAAGGTTTTAAGAGCCAATTTATTGACCTTTATCAAAACTATATTGGGTATGACGGATTGGAGTGAGGAAGAGATATTACGTGTGGCTGCTCGTTTAGATACAAATAGCTTTGAAGTACGTCAGACCATGGAAAATCGTAGAGTACGTGCCATTTATCCCTTGGCGGCTATGCTTTCACATGATTGTGTCTCCAATACTCGCCACACTTTCGATGAACAGATGAATATAATATTTATAGCTAAGAAGCCCATAGCTAAGGGTGATATCATTTGTACTTCCTACACTCAACCCTTGAAAAGTACTTTGATGAGAAGAGAACATTTGGCTCAGGCGAAATGTTTCGATTGTACTTGTAAAAGATGTCAAGATCCCACGGAGCTGAATCTGTTTGTGGGCGCAGTACTGTGTCATAAATGTAAAGTGGGAAAGGTGAGTAATTAATAAAGGAAAAGTTACACACTTCCACAAAGACTTAATTTTCCAACAGAAAACTTTATTCGCTTTTGTTGTTTCTCCTTTATTCAGATAATTTCCACAAATCCCATGGATAATTCGGCCGTTTGGCGCTGTCAATTATGCCCTCATCAGTTGCCGGCTAAACAAATCAATTTGGGTAATATGGCCATGTTAAAAGAGATTGAAGCTTTAGATAAAACTTCGGTCAAAGCATTTGAAGATTTTCTGCACAGGTACCGTGATATATTGCATGAAAAGAACACACATGTTTTGCAGGTGAAATATGCTTTGACCCAGTTGTATGGCAATGCACCAGGATTTACTTTACCGGGTAAATATTAGAAAAAGGATTTCATTAAAATAAACTAAAATCTTTTATACAAAAAACTTACAGAAATGAATGATGCTGCTATTAAGCGCAAAATTGATCTCTGTCAAGAACTTTTGGAAGTTGCAGAAGTTCTAGATGGTGGCTGGAGTATATTTAGAGGTAATCTATTGCTGGATTTACAAGAGGCCATGTTTGTGCAAACTAAACGGGAGTTCTTAAATGGTTTGCTAACACAAGCGGCTACACAGGTAAGAACAACGAACAAATCTTTAAAATTCCATTAATATCTATAAGAAGAAATGTTTTATTAATTATTTTTATAGCAGTTTATACATTTTTATTTTAACTTTGTTTGTGTGTTATTATTTTTTAGGAAAAATTCTTGGAATCTATGCAATTGCTAAAGGAAGCTATTGACATTATGAAACTGGAGCCCGATATGAAACAAACCTTAAATGAACGCACTCAACTATTGGCTAGGGAACTGGAAATGGAGGAATCCAATGGAGGAACTTAATTATTAAAAGACTGTTATACATTTTGTTGGTTATTTTTGTTTTTTGCTTAATTTTTCAGCAACTTTTTAAAAATGTATTAGGAAATATTGGTATTTATAATTAAAAGTAGTGGATTTTGTTAAAATTAACAAATAGTTATTAATAAATTAATAAAATTGGTTAAAATAAACTTATTTAATACTTTTGTTATTAAAATTGTTAAAATAAACTCGTTTTAAATAAATATAAACAACTAGATGCAAATGTAAATAAACAAAATGACGGTATTTTTGTTGTAAAGTGTGTGTTAATGAGATGTCAATGAATGGCAATATTGTTGTGTTTAAAGAAGAAAAACTTGGCAGCATTGTTTTTTTAATAAACACCGACTGAAAGTACAACAAATTGTTTATAAAGGTGGTAGAATTTCAACAACATTAAAAAAAATAAATATAACATAATAATAGAAGTTAATACCATATATTTTTATCAAGAAAATATTAAAAAAGTGATTAATAAACAATTAAATAACAATTTGAAAAGTAAACAATGCAACGGTACATTTATTATTGTTTTTATTAATATAAATGGCAACATTGTTCGTGTTGTGAGAAGAAAAACTTGGCTTCACTTTTTCTTATAGACCAGCTGTTTAGTACAACAATTTTTTTCAACCAACAGCAAGCTAGTGAAAATAAACAGAAAACGTTTATAATTATTTTAGTGAAAAAATAAAGAAAAATAATTAAAATTTATTAATTTCCATATAAAAAACTAAAAAATGTCAAATGTAACAGCAGCGGTTATAGCTAATCGCAATAAAAAACATTTCTTGGGAGTTCCCGCGCCTTTAGGCTATGTGGCTGGCGTCGGTCGTGGGTAAGTTGAAAAAATGTCTTGTTTTTCTATACTCAAATATAAACTAATAAATATTTTGTTTTATAGTGCTACAGGTTTTACCACACGTTCTGATATTGGTCCTGCCCGCGATGCCAATGATGTTTCCGATGATCGTCATGCTCCACCAGCGGCCAAACGCAAAAAGAAGGATGAGGAAGAAGAGGAGGATGAAGACTTGAATGATTCTAATTATGATGAATTTAGTGGTTACAGTGGTTCTTTATTCTCTAAAGATCCTTATGATAAGGATGATGAGGAGGCGGATGCTATTTATGATTCCATTGACAAGCGTATGGATGAAAAACGTAAGGAGTATAGAGATCGTCGTCTCAGGGAAGATTTAGAAAGATATCGTCAAGAGAGGTTAGTTTTTTTGTTAAAATTATCTTTTTTCAAAAAATTTTCTTTAAATTTCCTTTTGGACCTCCTTATAACCTGTTATCTTCTTCTGCATTTTTAACCACTCCTTCCCAGACCCAAAATTCAACAACAGTTTTCGGACTTAAAACGTTCTTTATCCAACGTTACCGCCGAAGAATGGTCTAACATACCCGAAGTGGGAGACAGTCGTAATAGGAAACAACGTAATGCCAGAGCTGAAAAATTCACTCCTCTACCCGATAGCGTATTGGCTAGAAATCTAGGAGGAGAATCTTCTTCTACCATAGATCCTTCCTCTGGTTTGGCATCAATGGTGCCCGGAGTAGCTACACCGGGCATGTTAACACCTACTGGAGATTTAGATTTGCGTAAAATAGGTCAGGCTCGTAATACTCTTATGAATGTCAAACTGTCCCAAGTTTCTGATTCGGTAACCGGTCAGACGGTAGTAGATCCCAAGGGTTATCTTACCGATTTGCAGAGTATGATTCCTACTTATGGTGGTGATATTAATGATATAAAGAAAGCTCGTCTTTTGCTTAAGAGTGTAAGAGAAACTAATCCCAATCATCCGCCCGCTTGGATTGCCTCAGCTCGTTTAGAGGAGGTTACTGGTAAGGTGCAAATGGCTCGTAATTTGATTATGCGCGGTTGTGAGATAAATCCCCAATCAGAAGATTTATGGCTAGAAGCAGCTCGTTTACAGCCCATAGATACCGCTAAAGCGGTCATTGCCCAGGCTGCACGACATATACCCACTTCGGTCCGTATTTGGATAAAGGCCGCCGATTTAGAAACTGAAACTAAAGCCAAAAGAAGAGTTTACCGCAAGGCTTTGGAGCATATTCCCAATTCGGTTAGATTATGGAAGGCTGCTGTGGAATTGGAAAATCCTGATGATGCTAGAATTCTATTATCTCGAGCTGTAGAGTGTTGTAACACTAGTGTGGAATTGTGGTTGGCTTTGGCTCGTCTTGAGACATATGAAAATGCTCGTAAGGTTCTGAATAAGGCTCGCGAAAATATACCCACTGATAGGCAAATTTGGACTACGGCCGCCAAACTGGAAGAGGCCAATGGTAATATACACATGGTGGAAAAGATTATAGATCGTTCTTTGACCTCTTTGGCGGCCAATGGTGTAGAAATTAACAGAGAACATTGGTTCCAAGAGGCCATAGAAGCAGAGAAATCAGGAGCTGTTAATTGCTGTCAGGCTATTATCAAGGCGGTCATAGGTGTAAGTGTGGAGGAAGAAGATCGTAAACAAACCTGGATGGATGATGCCGATTTTGTAAGTATAGAAATAAATTTGTATAACTGTCAACTAATACAGTATTTTTCTTTTCAGTGCGCTAAGGAAAACGCTTTCGAATGCGCTAGAGCTGTTTATGCTCATGCTTTGCAGATATTCCCCTCTAAGAAGAGTATTTGGTTGAGGGCCGCCTATTTCGAAAAGAATCATGGTACCCGCGAGTCTTTGGAAGCTTTGCTACAACGTGCTGTGGCTCATTGTCCCAAATCGGAGGTCTTATGGCTTATGGGTGCCAAATCCAAATGGTTGGCTGGTGATGTACCCGCTGCCAGAGGTATTCTGTCCCTGGCTTTCCAGGCTAATCCCAATTCCGAAGATATTTGGTTGGCTGCTGTTAAATTGGAATCCGAAAATGCTGAATATGAACGTGCTAGGCGTTTGCTGGCTAAGGCCAGAGGTTCTGCTCCCACACCTAGAGTAATGATGAAATCGGCTCGTTTAGAATGGGCTTTAGACCGCTTGGATGAGGCCTCACGTCTGCTAGATGAAGCAGTAGAAGTTTTCCCTGATTTCCCCAAATTATGGATGATGAAGGGTCAAATAGAAGAGCAACAAAGACGTTTGGAAGAGGCAGCCGCCACCTATAATCTAGGCATCAAAAAATGTCCTACTTCTATACCCCTGTGGTTGCTATCGGCTAATCTAGAAGAACGTAAGGGAGTATTAACCAAGGCTAGATCTATCTTAGAAAGAGGACGTTTGCGCAATCCTAAGACACCCATTTTATGGCTAGAAGCCATACGTGTGGAACTGAGAGCTGGTTTAAAGGAAATAGCCAGCACTATGATGGCTAGAGCTTTACAGGAATGTCCCAATTCGGGTGAACTATGGGCAGAAGCCATATTCATGGAATCTAAACCACAAAGAAAAACCAAATCGGTAGATGCTTTAAAGAAATGTGAACATGATCCTCATGTTTTGCTAGCAGTATCCAAACTTTTCTGGTCTGAACATAAATTCTCCAAATGCCGGGATTGGTTTAATCGCACAGTAAGTTTGTTGTAACAGCAAATACTTTTAGTTAGGATCTAAATCTTAATATTTAAATTATCTCTATTTCTAGGTTAAAATCGATCCCGATTTGGGTGATGCCTGGGCTTATTTCTATAAATTTGAATTGCTGCATGGCACCGAAACCCAACAGCAAGAGGTTTTAGAACGTTGTATAGCCTCGGAGCCTAAACATGGCGAAGCCTGGTGTAGTGTTAGTAAGAATATTAAAAACTGGTGTTTTAAGACTCCAGATATTTTAAAGGCCGTCGTTAAGGAGATATCTATACCCATTTAAAACAACTAATTTTTTTCAACAATTAATATAAACAACAACAAAAATAAACAAAGAATTTTTAAAATTTGCCAGTAAAATTTTCCAAAACAAATCACAAACTAATAATAGAATAAGTGTTTTCTTCGCCTATCAGAATGGATTTGATTGTGTGATTGATTTTAAAAAGCAAGATTCCTAAAATGCTGATGCTGATTTCAGAGACATAATTGTAAATTAGTTTCCAAAGTTGGCAGAAGATTTTAAATGTAAGTTTTAAGAACTTTAAATTTGTAGTTTGGAATAGTAGTTTTGAAAAAAAGAATCAAGATTTACTTTAAACTGAAAAAGTTAATAAATTTTCCCCAAGCTGACTTTTTCCTTATAAAGCTTTTTTAGAAAATCCTTTTTTCATACAAAAAAAAAAAAACATTTTTTAAAAAAGCTTTTTTTCAAAAACTTAAAGCTTTTAACAAAGCTGTTTTGATACACAGCTTTTTTAGAAATATTTTGTTTACACATTATTTTTTAAAAAAGCTTTTATCATAAAAAACTTTTTTACAAAAGGCTTTTTGTATCAAAACCCTTTTTCTTAAAAAACTTATTTTCAGTTTCAAAAATTTTTCATAAAAGGCTTTTTATGGAAATTTTTTTTATATAAAAGCTTTTTCATAGTTAACCTTTTTGTACAAAAAGCTTGTTTTTAGTCATTTCAAAAAAAAAAAAAAAAACATTAGAAAAATTTTCACAAAAAGCTTTGTCACAAATATTTCCATAAAATAACTTTCAATAGAAGGTGTTGTCATCACCAAAAGCTTTTTCATTTAAATTTTTTTAAGAGAAAGCTTTTCACATAAAAGTTTATTTAAGAAACCTTTTTCAGTAGAAAGATTTTCTAATAAAAAGCTTTTTATAGAGAAAACTTTTACTTTTTCCTGAAGAAACTTTTTTATAGATTTTTTTACTAAAAATTTGTTAGAAAAAAGCCTTTTTTACAGAAAAACCCTTCACTTTTTCAGAAGAAACTTTTTTTTATAAAAAGTTTTTTTTACTAAAAACTTAGAAAATAGAATTTTATAAAAAGATCTTTTTTAGAAAAAGCTTATCTTCATAAAAATATTTTTTTTAGAAAAAGCTTATTTTCACAAAAAGCCTTTTTAGAAAAAGCTTATTTTCACAAAAAGCTTTTTTTTACAAATATTTGTCTATAAAATAGTTTTTTTTGCTAGAAAGTGTTTTCACAAAAAGCCTTTTAAAGTTTTTCGAATAAAAGTTCTTTCATATAAAAGCTTAAATTTCATAAAAAACTTTTTCAGTAGAAAGTTTTTTCCATACAGTTTTAAAAAAAAGCATTTTTCTTATAAATTTTTTATTTATTTTCACAAATCTTTTTCCATAAAATTTTTCTAAAAAAAGCTTTTTTGGCTAGAAATTGTTTTCACAAAAATCCTTTTAAGCTTTTTTAGACAAAAATTGAAATTTACAAAAAAGCTTTTTTTACTTTTTTACAAAAAAGCTTTTTTCATTTTTTCTAGAAAAAGCTTTTTTTATATAAAACGTTTATTTATTTTCCAAAAAAAAATTTTTTTAGAAAAAGCTTTTTCTCAAATCTTTTTCCATGAAATTTTTCATAAAAAGCTTTTTTAATTTTACATATAACTAAACTTCACCCAGTAACATTTTATTCCAAAAGCTTCATTAAGTAAAATACATTTCAAAATCTGTTAATTCCTTCGTTTCACAAATTCATTTCTTCACAAATTTCCATAATTTAAACGAATGCTTCAACAGCAACTCGGCACAAAATACCACGCCAGCAAATAAAGAACCAAAACCAAATATGGCCAAAGCATAACGACACTCGGTTATGCCTATGGAAACAAAACCGCCCATACCACTCTCACATTTGGGTTTTTGAGGAAACCATTTGCGATCTTCACGATTCATAAGACCCACCTCACGTTGCCATCTTAATCTAAAAGAAATAAACAAGATAATAATCTATATCCCTTTCCATAATAAAAAACTTACTGTCTTCTAAATAGTTCCTTGTAGGGAAAGTTTTTACGCGTAGGTATGGATATCATGGGCAACTGAAAAGGCTCTAAAGACTTAAGGCCGCATTTTTCCGGTTCACTAAAAGTATTGCTGATAATTTGATAGCCCGTATGAAGTTCCACTTGATAGGCAAACATACCCGAACGCATTTTCTGTATACCTATAGTAGGTCTCATATAAATACTATCCCCCTTGGGAGCAATTTTCTTGTGATACAAAAGATTTGTAACAGGATCAGTAGATTCCTTAAGTGATAAGTAGTTTAGTATTTATTAGCAAGTGTTTTGTTTAAAGCTAACTTACAGTAAAATATATTTTATTATAGACTGTATCCTGTACACCAATTTCCAAGGGAGATTGACTTAAATCCTTTAAAGTATGTATAGCTTCCGAAGGACTTTGCAATAGAGCCACAATATTAGCAGAAAATGAGGTAAACAAAAATAAAGTAGCCACAAAAGTGGTAAAAATTATAATACGAGCCGAACAATTACCCACCGCCACATAAAAACCCTGCTGGCACATGGCACCCCAAACAAAAACAGCACAATCCAAATAATCCATTTGATGGTTATACGGAGAAAATAATAACTCCAAAGCAAATAGACAAATGGTAACAATAACTAAAACTACCAAAGAAATCCAAACATCATTCTCAAAAGGCATGGCAAATATATTGGCCACTGCTGACAAAGGAGGCTGTCTAAACATAACGCCAGCGCGAACACGAAAAGTTTCCGCCACAAAATCACATAAAGCCATACGATCCAAACGCATAAAAATGGCCAATTGAGCAAAATCCATTTCATAACGTTGAAATTGACCCATAAGACCATCAAAAGAACCATTGGGTTGATGCCAGCCATAGTTGTCGGTTTGGTGAGTATTAAAACTAAATTAAAAAGTAGTTAGAAAGTTTTTATAATTTATAAAATGTAAGAAAATTGAAACACCTACTGCATATTTAATTGATTGGCCAGTTCTATGGTCAAACGATTGTTAACCTTGGAAATGGTATCAATATGACGCATACTCAAATCTTCTATATTGGTAAACATATCGGGAAAGGCTATTACCATGGCGGTATTAAAAGTTATATTCTCCAAATTCTCTCTTAAAGATATTACCGAACCATAGTTTTTTAAGGCTTTTAACATATTTTTAACTTCGTTAAAATTCTGTAGCACAAAATTAAGTTTGAGTGGCTTAAAGGCGGCTACTTTATAAACATCCAAAAGGGAATATCTTCCTTTCTCTGGATCTTTTACTAAAACTTTAACTTCTCCATCGGGGGGTAAAAATATATCCTCATCATTTAGTGCTGTCAAATCCGAGAAATGTTTGGTTGTCAATAGCCAAAATTTATTAGTTGTAAAATAATTATTTTCCGAGGCAGCAGACCATCGTAAAACATTCAAACCACAGGGAGTATTGAAATCCATTAATAGCACACCCGTTTTATGAGCCAAAGGTTCTAATTTAAACTTTAAAGGACGACGATAAGTGTCATTTGAAAAAACTTTAAATGTATTAGCAGGACCATATAAGGGTGGCTCAGGCATTTCCTGTAAATAATCCCTACCCCACCAAACATGCAGCAGCATGTTGTGTTTTAAGAAAAACCAGGCCAAAGAGGAAAGTTTAAGAGCTTTAACACAAAATCAAACAGTAATATTTAATTATCTTGGAAATAATTTATATTTACTTGAAGTTTCATTTGAAGGACATCTTATAATGTTCAAACTATGTACTCCATGATAACGAAAATATGCCAGCATAATGTCTTGCATTAAAACACTTTTTCCTACCCCTTGCAACTCTTGATTGCTGTTATCATTAACAGATGATTTAACAGCTAAAACTTGATCACATTGTTTAACTTTATTTAACACATAAAGTAGCAATGTTGCTTTTAAAAGCATTAGCAATTGCATCGTTTGTATTTTGGCAATATTTCTTGTTATCCTTTATCAAGCGTATTTCCTGTGCTGTTCGTGTTAATCTTTTCACCACAATCTTAACTTGTCTTTGGTTTTCTTTGGCTTTTTATAAGCAGCACACTCTATTGCATGTTAGGTTTTTGCTTTACATCCCCCCCCTCCTATAGCCAGCACATGGTTTCCGTTATTTTGCCAGCAATTATGGGACAACACGTTCATTTACGCACGCAGCACAATTGCAGTCAAGGTAAATACATAGTTGTTGAAATGCTTGTAATGTTCACTATCATCGTATTAAAGGAAATTGCCAAATTAAGTTGTTAGATAAAGTGTAAGGCGATATAATAAGAAACAAAAAAAATTATAATGATCATTTTGCTAAGAACTAAGGAATTATGGTTTTTTGTAAAGTGAAGTGTAGAAGACTTAAAAAGTACTATATCTAAACAAAAGTAAACTGAAAATAAAAAGAAAAAATCAAGCTTTGCCTGTAAAACGAAAAAAGTGTAGTCCGTGAAACATTTGTAATTAAACAACAACATGCTTTATTAACCATTAAAAGCTCATCAAAGTAAATTGTGATTGAAATGTTTGCTGTCATGGCGTTAAAGGAAATTACCAATTCAAAGTTGTAAAGTAAAACGAGAAATAAAAAGAAAAAAATGTATTGAATGTTTGGAGAAATGGAGAAAACTATGGCCTTTCTAAAAGGAACTTAAGATAAAGTTATGTCTTTGTTAAAGTGCTTCAAATGATTCTTAGTGTGGAAAAGTAAAATAGAAATAAAAAGAAAAAATTTGCAGATGGATTTGAAAAAAAGGAAAAGGTGGTCTGACGAATTACAGACTTATGTCTAAATATAGCTCTCACATTCGCAAAGCAGAATGGTTGGAATATTCAGAAGTAACACATCGAGGGATATTTTTAAATCAAAATATTGAACAAAGTAAAATAAGAAATAAAAAGAAAAAAGATGTAAATTTCACAAAATCTTAAAGTTATGATATTTTAACGATAAGAAGAATCATCACTGGATATGGAGTATAGCAAACCTGAATTAGCAGAGATTGACAGTCCAAATTGTAAAGTAAGATATGAAATAAAAAGAAAAAATTGGATAAACACTACGCCAAAACCTAAAGGAAAACTATGAAGATCAAAGAAATGAAGTGTATCTATCTCACTTTACTATAATCCTATCAGGATCGAAGGAATTAATAATAATTATACTCTGCAACTCATCATCTTACGTATCCAGTCAATCAGGAACGATGAATCCGTAGTCGCAAGTATGGTGTCAAATTTTAAAGTTTATTTAATAATTTCTGGTGTATTTATACTAAATAAAGCATACTGAAGATATCTTCTACTACATTGTGCATTTGATGATGTATATTTTTTAAAGATTAATCTATTTCAAAAACTTCTTCACAAGCAATTCACAGCCCAGGGCGATCAAAGCAAATAGACAACCCCAACCTAAAACAGCCCAAGCATAACGGCACTCCTTTAAACCAATCGAAACAAAACGGCCCAAACCTTCACATTTGGGTCTTTGGGTAAACCATTTCATTTCTTCACGATTCATAAGACCCACCTCACGTTGCCATCTTAATCTATAAAAAAGAAAAAAGGCAGTTAGCTTGGGGATTTAGATTTCCTTAAAAGCAATACTTACTGTCTCCTAAATAACTCCTTATAGGGAAAATTCTTGCGTGTAGGCACTGCTATCATGGGTAATTTATAAGGTTCCATTTCCTTAAGACCACATTTCTCTGGTTCACTAAAAGTATCGCTTATAATTTGATAGCCAGTTTGTAGCTCCACTTGAAAGGCAAAGGTTTCATAGCGCATTTTGTTAATGCCAGCTGCGGGACTCATATATATACTCTCACCTTTGGGTAAAATTTTCTTGCGATACAAATATCTAGTCACCGGATCAGTAGATTCCTTTTAAGCACAAAGAAAGTTATATTTTAAACTTATATAAATAATTAAACTTACATTCAGAAACACTCTATTGTATACCGTATCCATTACCCCTAGTTCCAAAGAAGAATGACTCAAATCACTTAAAGTACGTATGGCTTCTGAAGGACTTTGTAATAAAGCCACTATATTGGCAGAAAAAGAAATAAACAGAAATAAGGTGGCCACGAAAGTGGTGAAAATTATAATACGAGCTGAAAGATTAGAAACCGAACCATAGAAACCCTGTTGACACATAGCACCCCAAACAAAGATGGCACAATCCCAGTAATGCATTTCATGGGTATGCGGTGACAAAGCCAATTCCAAGGCGAATACACAAATTGTAACCACTACCAATATAATCAAACAAATCCATACCTTAATATCAAAGGGCATGGTAAAAATATTGGCCACCGAGGACAAAGGAGGCTGTCTAAACATTATACCCGCTCTTATGCGAAAAGTTTCTACTAGAAAATTACACACTTTAGTGCGATCTAAACGCATGAAAAAAGCCATTTGGCCAAAATCCAATTCATAACGTTGAAAACGACCCATTAAACCACTAAAAGAGCCATTGGGTTTATGCCAGCCATAGTTGTCAGTTTGATAAGTATTAAATCTGTAAAGGAAAAATAAAGAAAATTAAAAATTTTAAGCTACAAAACTGATCTAACCTCAAATTTAATTTCCTGGCCATATCCACCACTAAACGATTAGTAACCTTGGCCATGGTGTCAATATGTCTTAAAGATAAATCTTCTATATCGGTAAACATATCGGGAAAATTGATCACTAAACCGGTATTAAAAACAATACCCTCCAAATCTTCTCTCAGGGAAATAACAGAACCATAGGAACTTAAAGCTTTGCTCATTTCCTGTACATCCGAAAAGTTTCCCACTACAATGTTATGCTTTAAAGGTTTAAAGGCTGCAACTTTATAGACATCCACTAGAGAAAATCTCTTATTTACTTCCTCTACTAAAACTTTTACTTCACTATCGGGTGGCAAGAAAATATCCTCATCTTCTAAAGCCTTTAAATCTGCGATATCTTTTGTTATCAGCAACCAAAAGCTATTGGTTTTGAAATAGTTATTTTCCGAGGCAGCCGACCAACGTAAAACATTCAAAGCACAGGGTGTATTGAAATCCATCAAAATTACTCCCGTTTTATGGGCCAAAGGTTCGAGCTTAAGTTTTAAAGGACGTCGATGGGTATCATTTTTAATCTCACGAAAAGTTATAGGTGGACCAAACACCTCACGCTTGGGCATTTCGGATAAATAATCCTCACCCGACCAAACACGTACTGGTAGATTATGTTCCATATAAAATAAAACTATTGATGAAATTTTTGGAGCTGAAATTTTAATAACTTCTTTAACAACTGGAAAACTGGAAAGTTTACTCCCTTTAATACCTGTGTTTTCAGCCGGACATACTATCAAGTTTAAACTGCGTACACCATGGTATTGAAAATATGCCAAAGTTATGTTTTTAACAGAATCCTTTTTCAAATTTCTTACTGATGTCAACCACTTATTGTTGCCTTTATTATTATTACAATTGTCTTCCACACTTTTAGCCACATAAAATAGCAATGCTATTGCTATAATTAGCAATTTCATTGTTTTTATTTTGTATCACTTTTTTATCAGTTATATTTCCTGCTTAACTTCTGCTGCTAGTTTGCCATCTATTCTGTCTTGTGTTTTGGTTTTTATAGCGTATTTTTCCCACCCCTTTTCTAAAGTCTTATAAAATTTAGGAAACAACCGTTAAACAACATGTAATAGGTGATTATTTGTTGAAAATTATTTTAATATTCAATTGCTTCCTTGTTTTAAAGGAAATTGTCGTATTAAGTTGTTAAAGTGAAAATTTGTTATAGAAAAATTATAGCAACAGAATTTTTGATTTGTCTGAAAAATATATTATACATATTGGTACTTACTTGCGGTTGGAGTCTAGAAAAAATTCGGTAATCGAGTCTATGGTCGAGACTACATACCGTGAGGAGTATAATCGAGTCCTGGTCGTGTCTTTATTTCGAGTACAAATTCGAGTTTATTGAGTCTGTTCTCGAGATTGAAGTTGAGTCTACAATCGATTCCGTAGTCGAATCTGTAGTCGAGATATAGAAGAGTCTATAATTTCGAATATAATCGAGTATATATATAGTATAAACTGTAGTCAGGTCAATAGTCCAGATCAGTCTATAGTCCAGACTATAGTTGAGGCTATAGTCCAGACTATAGTTGAGTCTATAGTCCTGACTATAGTTGAGTCTATAGTCCAGACTATGTCGAGTATATATATAGTATAAACTGTAGTCAGGTCTATAGTCCAGATCAGTCAATAGTCCAGATCAGTCTATAGTCCAGATCAGTCTATAGTCCAGACTATGTCGAGTCTATAGTCTGGACTAAAGTTGAGCCTATAGTCCAGACTATGTCAGATCTATAGTCCAGACTATGTCAGGTCTATAGTTCAGACTATAGTCTAGTCTATAGTCCAGACTATAGTCTAGTCTATAGTCCAGACTATAGTCTAGTCTATAGTCCAGACTATAGTCTAGTCTATAGTCCAGACTATAGTCTAGTCTATAGTCCAGACTATAGTCGAGTCTATAGTCCAGACTATAGTCGAGTCTATAGTCCAGACTATAGTCGAGTCTACAGTCCAGACTATAGTCGTGTCTATAGTCCAGACTATAGTCGAGTCTATAGTCCAGACTATAGTCGAGTCTATAGTCCAGACTATAGTCGAGTCTATAGTCCAGACTATAGTCGAGTCTATAGTTCAGACTATAGTCGAGTCTATAGTCCAGACTATAGTTGAGGCTATAGTCCAGACTATAGTTGAGTCTATAGTCCTGACTATAGTTGAGTCTATAGTCCTGACTATAGTTGAGTCTATAGTCCAGACTATGTCGAGTCTATAGTCCAGACTATGTCGAGTCTATAGTCTAGACTAAAGTTGAGCCTATAGTCCAGACTATGTCAGATCTATAGTCCAGACTATGTCAGGTATATAGTTCAGACTATAGTCTAGTCTATAGTCCAGACTATAATCGAGTCTATAGTTCAGACTATAGTCGAGTCTATAGTCCAGACTATAGTCGATTCTATAGTCCAGACTATAGTCGAGTCTATAGTCCAGACTATAGTCGAGTCTATAGTCCAGACTATAGTCGAGTCTATAGTCCAGACTATAGTCGAGTCTATAGTCCAGACAATAGTCGAGCCTATAGTCCAGACTATAGTCGAGTCTATAGTGCAGACTATAATCGAGTCTATAGTCCAGACTATAGCAGAGTCTAAAGGCCAGACTATAGCAGAGTCTATAGGCCAGACTATAGCAGAGTCTATAGGCCAGACTATAGACGAGTCTATAGGCCAGATTATAGTCAAGTCTATTATCGAATCTGAAGTTGAATCTACAGTCAAGTCTATAGTTGAGACTGTAGTCCACATTATTAGTCGAACTAAAGTCTGCAGCCAAGACTTATTTGAGTCTTTAGTCAAGTATATAGTGGAGACTATAGTTCAGTCTACAGTCGAGCTTATGGTCTAGTCTATTGTCGAGCTTATAATCGAGTCTCTAGTCGAGCTTATAATCGAGTCTATAGTCGAGTCTATAGTCGAGTCTATAGTCGAGTCTATAGTCGAGTCTATAGTCGAGTCTATAGTCCAGTCTATATTGGAGTCTATAGTTGAGTCTATAGTCGAGTCTATAGTCCAGTCTATAGTCGAGTCTATGATTGAGTTTATATTCGAGTCTATGGTCGAGTCTATAGTTTTTAATCTTGTCTGTAGTTGAATCCGCATTATAGTTGAACATTTATTCTGTCTATAGTCGAGTATATAGTTGATTCTATAGTCGGTTCTATTGTCGATTCTATAGTAAAACTGTATACTTCTATATATAATGCAGTTTGATGTCGAGGTTATAGTCCAGTGTCTCGTAGCGTGTAGAATATTCAACTCGATCTCGATTTCGTTGAAATGCCAGGCTTCATCTAGCTTAGGTCATGTACTTTTCTTTTTATTTAAATTTTCAAACTTCTAGCCATTAAACTAGCTCCAACAAAATTGCCTCCCAGCAAATTAAGCCTTTTTTTTTACAAAATTGAATTTATAACTGCCACAGAGTCACGCAATATATTGGAAATTTCAACACATTTAAAATAAAGTCAATATTTTTCATAAATCTTTTTTTATATTCAAATTTTTTATTGCATTTAATAACTGTGTTTAACTAAAGAAAAAATATAACAAAACAAAATGAATCCACATCACGTGCCATCAATTAAAATCGAAAACAAATAGAATTTGTAACGTTATAAAATCATTTTTTATTTGTTTGTTTTTTTTTATTATTATTGAATTGAATGAATATGAATGTTGATGTCCAGAGTCCATATTTTAGCATATCTGTGTGGGTTTGCAGTTTTTGTTACATTTGAGATTTGGCCTGACAACTGTGAAAAATATTGCAACCAATGATGCAAAATGGATGAGTGGTTGAAAGAGTAATGGTTGTTGTTCCCCTTTGAAATTAGGGTGCAGCAGATTGTTATTGTATTTTGTGTTTAAAATTTTGTAGATTTTTTAAGGTTTAAAATAGGCGGGAATGATTTGTAGTTTTTCCTAAAGTTTTGTGTTAAGTTTTCATATATTTTTTTGTTTGGGGGGGCGTCGTGGGCGAAGAAATCAGTGCCACCTTAATATGGTTTTCAGCTTGTAAATAGTTAAAATGCAATAGCTTTACTTTTGAAAAATTTATTTATTTTAAGCTTGTAAAGATCATCGATGCACACAATTTAGATTGGCTGGATTTGTGGCAATTAAAATCCCAAAAAATACTACTAGTAACAAAATTGCCAAGAATTTAATTAAAAAATGAAGTTAAACTAGATTTGAAGGGGATTTGCTAGTGAACAAAAAGGCTTTAAATTTGCTTAATTAAAACAGAACAAAAAATATCGAAAAGCAAAAACTTGATTTAAAGTTTTAAATACAAAAATATGCTTTACTAATACTTATACCAATAAAGTACAAAAAAAAAAAACTTTTTTTCTAATAAATAAATCTGAAAATATTTTGCTCAATATTAAGTGATTTTCCATATTCATATATACAGTTTCTTTCTATAGAACCCTATTTTCCCTACAATTTTTCTTAAACACATCTTACCCACCGCATCGATGTGTGAAATGACTTCATTAAAATACCAAGTACAAAAATAATGTTTGTCATCTGCTGGTTGTAATACTGTTGTTGTCCTCCCTCAAACATTTAGTACAGCAAGTAGCTTGTAATAGAATCTATTGTTATTTATGGTGATTCAAGCATAAAAAAGCCTTTAACAATATTTATGGTTAAATATCATGATAAAATTATAGAAAAAAAAAAATGCAAGGAAAAATAAATAAATTTAGATATAAAATAAATTACATGAAAAATAAACGGTACAAGTTTAAAAAAAAAAATAAATAATTTACATGAAAAAGAAAAAAAAAATCCAGGACATGAAGAGCAATATGATGTAGTAGACGGGTTCATAATATGATGGATAAATTTAAGATACAGACTATAGTCGAGTCTATAGTCCAGATTATAGTCGAGTCTATAGTCAGACTATAGTCGAGTCTATAGTCCAGACTATAGGCTAGTCTATAGTCCAGACTATAGTGAAGTCTATAGTTTATACTATAGTGTAGTCTATAGTTTAGACTTTAGTGTAGTCTATAGTTTAGACTATAGTCTAGTCTGTAGTCCAGACTATAGTCTAGTCTATAGTCCAGACTATAGTAGTCTATAGTAGCCTATAGTCCAGAATATAGTCCATATAGCCTATAGTCCAGTCTATAGTCCATACTGCAGTGTAGTCAATAGTCCAGACTATAGTATAGTCTTAGTCTAGTCTATATTCCAGCTAGTCGATTCTATAGCCCAGACTATAGACGATTCTATAGTCCAAACTATAGTCGAATCTATAGTCCAGACTATAGTTGAGTCTATAGTCCAGGCTATAGTCCAGTCTATAGTCAAGACTATAGTCTAGTATATAGTCCAGTTTATTGTCCAGACTATAGTCTAGTCTATAGTCCACACTATAGTCTAGTCTATAGTCGAGTCTATAGTACAGTCTATAGTCTGGTCTATAGTCTAGTCTATAGTCCTGTCTATAGTCCGGTCTTAGTCTAGACCATAGTCAAGTCTATAGTCCAGACTATAGTTAATGTGTAGTCCAGTCTATAGTCTAGTATTTAGTCCAGTTTAGTGTCCAGAATATAGTCTAGTCTATAGTCCAGACTGTAGTCGGCTATAATATAGACTATAGTCGTCTATGGTCTGGGCTATATTCTAGTCTGTAGTCCAGACTTTAGTATAGTCCATAATCAATACTATAGTCTTGTCTACAGTCCATACTATATTCAAGTCTATAGTCTATAGCAGGGTATAGTTTATTCTATTGTCCGGATTATAGTCTATAGTCCATATTCCAGTCGATTCTATAGTCTACATATCAGTCTAATATTTTCTACAACCATTTCTCTAATTACGATTATAATCTAGTCTAAAACTGAACTCCTCTAATGTACTTGTTCTGGCGCTTACAT